TTATTTATTTATTTTTGGTGAAACTGGGGATTAAACTCAGGCCCTTGCATTTGCCCGGGAAGTGCTTATTCTGCTGAGCTATATCCCCAGCCCCTGGTCAAATAGTTTGCCAAAGCCTTTAATCACAGTTTGCATAGAAGAATCTTTAATCATAAAATGAAATTTTCAGTTCAAAATTTGAATTGCAGCTGTTGTATTGTAGAGCAGTGAGTTTGGCATTCAGAGCTTCTTTCCTAGGATTATTTTCTTCCTTCCAGTGTTCACTGCTCTCATGCTGTCTACTTTGGCATCCCACCAGAGCCTGTTGTTTCCCAAAAGTGTTGCTAGTGCCAAAATGAATTCTTATCACCATTAAAACAAGTCCTGCCCCATGTGCCAATGCCAGCAAGCAGGAGTGATAGGATTACAGGTGAAGCTGAAGGGATCTTTGGAAAGCAGCTCATCTTGTCTTACTGGTGAGGAAACTGAGTCTTAGGCATAGTCACTTGCCTAAGGTTCCTGGCAGAAGTAAAAATTGAGAACTCTTGAGGATTGGTTTAACATAAGAGTTTTCACTCCCTCCCATATAAAATAGAAATCAAGATATTCAATCAGGTTATTATGATGCTCAAATATGAGAAGTGAAAACGTTTTGAAAACTGCAGTTTGATATAAGTACCTTTACATTTTTTCCCATGAAGCCAGATACTTTTTGTTATGCTAGATGCTAATAACTAGGAAATGTTAACAGGTGACTTTTTCATGTGAGATTTGCGCTTGGAAGGAGGAGGTCTTCAGGACCTATTGAGCATCGGAGAAAAGAAAATGAAGTACTCCACCTGCCTCTCAAATTACTCCAGATGGGACAAACAGCAGTGGACAGACATGTTTTCACAGTAACAGTACGGCATACCTTCAGAGGAGCTGAGAACTTTGTAAGGAGACAGAAAATCTGTCCACACAATACTTTAAGTATCTAGGCTGGGGTTGGACAAAATTAACTTAAAAATCCCTTTAACACTGAAATTCTGTAATTGTGCGATTACAACCAGTTCATTTTTACAACATACACTCCTGTTTATGCTCTTTCTCTTTAAACCCAGAGACACTGACATCAATTAATATATTACAAATTGTGTAACTGATCTTATAGATGTAAAAAAAGGGAAAAATCTAACATGTAAGTGCAAGCACACACAGCACAATTTAACAACTTTGGGTTTTGTTTTAAGTTGAAGTGAATTATGAAAGAAAAGGCCATAACCTATAGCCTTCAAATTGTCAACCTTAATGGAATGAGTTTAAATATTATTCACTTATATTCAGCAAGAGAGAAAAGTCTCAGTTTTAATTTCTTCAGCGTTTAGTTTTATTTAGATGAATTTGAAGTCCAAAACAATCATTGTAATGGGCTGCCGTGAGCTGGGGTGTAGCTCAATGGTAAAACACACCTACTTGGCATATATGAAGCCCTGGCTTGATTTTCAGCCTCTTCAAAATTTAGCAATTAGCTGCTTTGATATTTATCTGGCAGGGTGAACAGAAATGTGATCATTACACCCTATTTGGAAACACCTGATGGGGAGATAAAATCTTCAGATTTCTGTTAATTTCTTAAAAAAATAACACAAATGTATTCCATACTTAAGGCCTGGGAATAACAGATTGTCTTGGTTAATTTTCTCAGCTTGCTGAGACAAAATACCTGATGCTAATTAAATACCAGATTTAATTAGCTCATAGTTTGTGCAGGTTTCAGTCCATACTTGGCTGGCTCCAAGGAAGATTGACACATGGCACAGCGACAACAGTTAAAGGTGGCAGATCACAGCAAAACAGCAAGAGCAAAATAGAGAAGCAGCAGAGAGCAAGCCCTCTCTTATATTGTATGCAGGCTGTCTGCCTCAGGGTGGGTAAAGCATTCACACCTGTAATCCCAGCATGGGACCATGAATCAATCACAAACTCTGGAATCCTGCTCCATGACTTCTTGAGGCTTTAGGGGAACATCTAGACACAAATCATAATACAGCCTCTAAATCTTACCCACTTTATGTCTAGCACTTCACACATAGTGGATGTGCATGGTATTTGTTCCGTGAATGAATAAGATACATCAGTGTGCTGTAGGTCAGGTATAGGAGGGTAGAGAAAAGGTTGTTCTAGACTGTATAAAGAAATGGAAGTGTCTCATTTGAGACCATGGCTCATTTGAAAAATAACAGGAAGTTCAGTTTACCTGATATCAAGGGTGCTCTGTGATGGAGGTGGAATAGCTAAAGATGAGGCTGGCTAGTGACAAGATCACCAAGGTTTTGTATGGTATGCCAGGGGCCAGGGAGATGGCTTGGGGCCAGGGAGATGGCTCAGTAGAATAAGTGCTTCCCTGGCAAGCTCAAGGGCCTGAGTTTAATCCCTGGTTTTGCCAAAAATAAATAAATAAATAAATAAATAGTATACCACAGGTTTGAAGTTATCCTGAAAACAATGGGGGTGAGGAGAGGGAGCCAGAAAGGATTGGGCCCTGGGGTGTGCTTTTTTTTTTTTTTTTTTTGGTGGAACCAGTGATTAAACTCAGACCCTTGCGCTTGTCAGGCAAGTGTTTATTCTACTGAGCCACCTCCCTGGCCCAAACTTTTTTTTTCTTTTTTGCAGTACAGGGGATTGAACTCAGGACCATGCACTTGCCAGGCAAGCACTTACTCCACTGAGCTATTTCCCCGACTGGGGTGTGCTTTTCAGTGAGGACATGGTGTCATGATTATATTAATGTTTGAAGTCCAACTCTGGTTTCTTCTAGTGGAAATGGATGGGAGGAATATTGGGAAGGCAACTAAGAGGATGAAAGCCTACAGGCAAGGTGAGAAGTTGGGGGACAAACAGGAAGAGGCTCTGAGCAAAGGCAGTGGTAGCAAACAGGTGAACATCCTTTTAGGATAGAATAAGCAGCAAAGAGATTTTGACAGAAGAAAGTGAATTTAACACCACCCCTCCATGCCAGACAACCCAATAGAAAACAGCCCCATCAGAACAACCACAGTGAGAAACACCCCAGAGTAAGCGGAGTGCAAGTCTAGTAAATGTAAATTTCACGAGATGGCCATGGAGAAAGCAAATGCCACATTGGGGACCTCAAGTTGAAAAGTTATCTGGATAAGGGATGTGTCTAAGTTGGTCTGCTCAGTACAAAAGGGACTGCACCCTGTACAGAAGAGAACAGATTCAGTTCTCAGCTTCTACTTTGAACAGATCAGTTCCATGAGGGGCCTTGAATTTATGTCTTTGGAGGAACAGTGAATCAGAATTGTCTTCACATTCTTGGACCACTGTGGGAGAGGAGGGCCAAGGCTGGTTTTGCTTGACTTCCAAGGGGCAGAAGCTACCAGGGGCTCAGTGTCACTCAGCCTAAAGGTAGGAAGCAGGGGCTCAAGCAGCATCCTGCAGAGCCAGTGAACCCCTGGCCCAGGCAGTTGTCTAGTTTGTGAGGGAGGGGCTCCTGTACATGAGACATACAACAGCAAAACAACCAACGACAACCAATACCAGTACGGGGATGAAGTCAATGGGTGATCTTAGATGTTCTTATTAACCTTATGTGTAAGATCTAGGTGAGCGGGTGGCCACTTCTGAGCAGTCTTGCCTCAGGTGAGGTGGGTGACAATATCACTCTCGTTAGCTTTTGAAATGTATGTTTCCTTCTTTCTTTTTTTTTCTTTTTTTTTTTTTGGTGAAACCTGGGATTGAACTCTGGACCCTGTACTTGCCAGGCAAGCGCTTATTCTACTGAGCTATCCCCGGCCTTGAAATATATGTTTCTTCCAAGGAAATAGGTTGTATGTAGGTCAGCGGACCAGGTATGCTGTAGGCTCTGAACCAGTGTAATTTTGTGGGTCGGAGAGGGGCTAGCCTGTGTAGACTTCAGAATCCTCTGGCGCAACAGCGCTAGGGGATAAGCTTTGGCTCCCGCTAGGCTGCACAAGAGGGGCGGGGTTTCTTGAATGGTTCCCCAGGAGAAAGTGATTGGCCCTGGGGAAATCGGAGGGGCGGGACTAGTCCATTGTTGCCATTGGTCCTGCGGGCAAGTTGAGAGATGGCTGTGAGGGGGGCGGAGCCCGCGAGAGGAGGCAATTGGGTTTGGTGAGGGCCTACGGAGGGAGCGAGCGGGTGGGCAGACGAGCCCGCAGCCCGCTCCCCGCAGCCCGTAGCCCACAGCCCGCAGCCCGGAGGTGGGAGGCAGCTGCAGCGAGCTCTCCTGGGCCGCAGCGGGGCGAGGGGTGTACAGGGCGTTGGCGCCGGGCGCGCGCCTGCGTCGCTGACTTGGATGCGGGAGGACGCTTCTGCGTTCCTTGCGCTGGATGCGAACCATTCAACAGCTGGCCTCGTGGGCAAGAGTCGCGGGGAGCTACGGCGGCGGCTGGAGGGAGGCAACGGAGTCAGTGGTGATGGTGGTGGCAATCTCGCTATCCCAGCAAAGCCCAGAGTGGAGACACAACGGCTCCTGAGGCTCCCGGTAAATGTCCTTCGCTCTGCTCGCAGAGAAGGCAGCTATAACCCGCTGCGTCTTGGTCGGCTGGCTGCCCTGGCCTAGTAGAGCTATGCCTCACAGACAGGGCCACGCCGGACCCTCTGTGGGGATTGGGGATAGGCTGCACAGGGGACTTGGCTTTACCCGCCTACCTCAGCAGAGTTAGATTTTCCAGAGGTGCATCTAGGCTCTTCCCCGGGGTCCTCTCCCTTCACCATAGACCCCGCAGTGCTTCCTCCGGCCCTGTCGCTGCTCTAGGGGGCGCGCTGACCAGCGCTCTGGTGGAGGTCACTCGAGGCATTCCCTTAGGGTAGGTTGGCAGTGACATCCCGCTAATGAGAGCTGAAGATGCCTTCTACTGCTTGATCAGCATCCAGTGGCTCTGGCTCTGTCACCCCCCCTCCCCCTTGCAACACCTATCCAAAAATCATTAGCAAGATTCCATGCCCCACCCCCACCTTCTCTCCTCCTATTGACTGGGCCCTTATCTGAAGAGACTTGAGGTTTCCAGCAGGAGTGGAATAAGGTTTGTTTCCAGTTTGACTGAGAGAGCAGTCACCCATAGGCTTTCTGAGTGTGCAGTTCAGAGCTTGGGTTGGTGGGCAGAGGGATGGAGCATGCTATACAGTAGGGGACACTGCCATCCGCGCTCTTGGAATCATAGTCTTGGTCTTGGGACCTGCGCCTTCTTTGCATTTGATCGACTGTGTTTTGCAATCGTTACTGGAGAAGTTTTAAATGCTGCTAACTCGAGTGAATTGTAGTGGAGAACTGGCTTCCAGTATGGGGAGCTGGTGACCCTTTTGGCCTTTTCATTCTCAGAGCTCATGCCCATTTTGCCTTAGGTTCTTCTCGCCTCTGATATAACTTCATTTTGTTGAAATTTACACAGCACAATTGGAAGGGCTCAATTTTCATTCTCAGGAGACCATTCCTTGGCATAAAATTGGGGCCTCCTAAATTCTACATTTTAGGGGCTTTGCTGGATAGCACAGTTGTTTAAAGCACCGCTTGAGTAAATCCAGGCAGGCGCATAGGACTGCAGTTCGATTCCTGGCTCCAGGACCTGTACCAGAACTGCCCTTAAGGCAGCCTGAAGTAGCCAAAAAAAAAAAAAAAAACCAAACCAAAACAAAACAAAACAAAAAAACCAAAACCAAAAACCTCCTTTTAAATTCTACTTTTTAGAAGTTTTTTTGTTTGTTGGGTTTTTTTGACTGGCTCAGGATGCCTTCAGGGCAGGTCTGGTAAGGCTTGAGGATCTGGGGATCAATCACGGCATCCTGATTGCTTTGTTGAAGCAGTCACTTAAACAACTAAGGTAATAGGCAAGCCCCCTCCTTTTTAAATTTACTTCTTAAAGAGCATAGCATTGCCACAGCCACATTTTCTATGGTCTTTGAAGGGGGGTGTCCTCAAAGCATGGAGTAGCTGGAATCAGAGTGACTTCCCCAAAGGTATTTTTCTTTCAGTTCTTGTTCAGCACAGAGAAAAGTGAGAAGTGGACTAATCTTGTGGACACTGATGCCCAGGGAATCCCAGCTACTACACACATCAGAGGATGATGGGGCTGGCTTGAGGGAGGGCCAGGGCCTCCCAAGGCCACCTTGATTTCTGTAGTGGACTACAGGCTTTTCCTTTGGTCTCAGCAAAGATCATACTTTTTTTTTGTACCGGAGATAAAACTCAGGACCTTAACACTTGTCAGGCCAGTGCTTATGCTGGTGAGCTGTCTCCCCAGTCCAGGATCCAACTTTTGGTGTGGCTATTTGTCCTGTTTTTCCCTCACATACTCAGGAAGAGACAGTGATCTTTATCTGGCTTTGTGTGTCCTCTCCAGCATCAGAAGGAAAAGTGAGGCTTGGGATCTAGGGAAGGTGAAAATGAGGAGCATGTAGGATACAACATGGTGGTGGGTGTGGGGTGGATTATTGCCATCATCGAAGTAGCTCTCTGCCCCTGAGACTGACTACATATTTATCTTCTCAGCATGCATCCCTATCTTTACTTTACCAGAGAAAGGGACTTGGGATAACTTGTCTTAGATGGTGGTGTTAGTAATGCAACTCTGATTCATTATCCACCAGAGACTATGGATTTTGCATTATATGCAGCCAAGGTGTGGGCTGAGGCAGGCCTGATACCTGGGACACAGAGCGGGCTATATGGAATCCAGCAGAGGTCTGATCAGAAGAGGCAGCATAAAAGCTGTAGCACTTATAGAAGTAAAGAAAATTAATTGAAAATTGAGTTACAATAATAATAATAAGGGCTCACGTATTATTAAAATCCTGCAAAGTAGGCACTATTAGGGGTTAGGCATCCCTAATCCAGAGTTCTGAAATCCATAATTCAAAACTTTTTGAGCACTGATTTGGCAGCAGCCATAGAAAATTCCTTATCTGCCCCCATATGACAGGTTGCAGTCAAACAGATGCGTTAAAGATATTGTATGTAATTGCCTCTAGGCTAATCGGTATGGCATGTCAATGAAACATGAATTAATTTTATGTTCAGACTTGGGTCCCACCCTCAATATATATTTGTATGTATTGTATAAATATTCCATAAATTCAAGGTCTGAAACACTTCTGGCTTCAAACATTTATTAACTTATAAAACTCAAAGAAGTATCAAAGCCAATGACATCCTACTGCCTGGTTATTGGCAGAGGTGGAATTTGAATTCAGATCTAAGTGACACCAGGCCTTGAGTTTAAAAGCATTTTGCTTTTTACAGTCACAGAAAAGTTTCATGTGAAAGAGATGCGATGTCAACAAGACTTTTAAGGGTAGGAAGGTGATAGTCCTCTGAAGGGATCCACTCAAGGAAAACTGGCCCAACTAGAAAGAGAGATGGACACAAGGTATAATGAAATACAGACCTGGAAAAGTGGGGGAGGAGTGTATTTTGGAGAGCCCTAAAGAGAACTTGTGATTTGATACAACGAGAAATAGGGGATGCTTGGGCTGGGGTGTATCTCTAGTGGCAGAGTACTTGCCTAGTATGCATGAGGCCCTAGGTTCCATTGCTGTGAATAAAAATGAAAAGAAATAGGGGATGTTGTCAAGGTTTGAGCAAAGAGCATGACAAAATAGTACCATTCATCTGGTATGACCTACCTGGCTCCCTGAGCCTGTGCCTTTCTCTTCCTCTCTTGAGAATCTTGCCCAGATATCCATATATTTGACTTGTTTTTTAATATCCTGAACACTTCTTGACATTGGACCAGATGTGTGCAAATGAACAGAGTCCTGGATCCAGTGTGCAGGAAAAGTAAGCTAAAGGCTCTGGATCAAATAAGCCCTTGATGAGTATGTTTCAGCCTGCACACTATTTGTAAATGTAGATTGAATTAGTGGTTAGCATACAGAAAATAAAGTCTCAAAAACCAGAATTTCCAGCTTTCTTGTGCTACAAGGCCTGGGCTATGTTCTTCTGCAGGACAGACTTCTTAGCTGGGGGCCAAATGCTCTGGAACTCTTGTGCAGTCATCAGTGCCCCCACCCCTATTCCCAGGACCTACCTGGCTGTCTGGACTCTGGACTCTTGTTTAAGGGAAATAAGGCCCTGTGAAGAAAGATTCTAATTCAAGATTAGCTTCTCACCTTACAGTGTAATTAGGAAATAGTCAGGCTCACTGTCTCTGCGAAATGAAAATAACCATAACACACAGAGATGCTGCAACACTGTGGAAGAGCCAACAGCCAGGGACTGGCATATCCCAGCCTCTTCTGGTCTGGGACTAAAAACCTGCTGTCCTGAGACCCCGGTGGACGTTTTGGCGGGTCTTGTGGTTCTGCTTCATCCTGTACTTGAGCTCAGGCTTTCTTTCTATTGGATACTTTATGATTATAGGATCTAGTGCAAAATGATAAAATGAATTTGATGGGGACAACTCAGAAGGGACTGCCTAAGAAATAACATGTTGAAGATATAATTTGGAAGTCCCTGAAAGAACTCTGTACGCTCTGGTTGGCCAAGTACAAACCACTTCTGTGTTGGCATCTGGGCGGGGAGATCGTCAGTGGACAAGTGTGTCTGGGAACTGATGGGCATTTAGCATCTCTAGGTCCTGCTTAGCAGATGGCAGTGGCACCCTTCCCTGTGCCAGTTATTGTGACAAGTACAACTGTTTCTATGTATGTGCCAACACTCTTGATGGGAGCAATACTGGCACATTTCAAACCCAAAGTATATTTCCAGAAATCCTAACATTCACTTGATGTGAAAGAATGTTAAGGTCATGATTATTTATCTGTGACAGAGTGTCCTGTGTTTCTACTGATATTCACGATTTTCTTCCTCAGATTCCAGCTAATTGTCTCCATTTTTTTCTCTTTCTAGATTCAGTTCTTTGAGTGATTCATCACTGTGACCCCCAAAGTGTCTAACAGAGCAGGTGCTTGGTAGGTACCCTTGAACTCATCTCAGTGTTCAGTGGTTAATGTTAACAGCTCTAGGAGTCCAAGACAACATGCAAGTCTGCATTATCATTTCCTTCAGTCTCTAGGTGCTAGTATTAGTATTTTAAAATACGGAAGTAATGCTTTTGAAATGTAGTTGTTGCACAACCTTTCTGTTTTAGGTAAGATTTATCATTCTTCAGGTTTAACTGTGCCCCAAATACTGTTCTAGGCTATGGCAATCTATATACATACTGGTGCAATAGACAGATGCAGTCCCTGTCATTTTGAAACTTATACATTAGGGGGGAAGAGATGAGCAAATAAAGCCGATTCACAAACAGTTATGATGATATGCATTTGATAGTTTCAGTACTATAGTAAGAGTAAAATGGGGTGATGTACTACTGAGTGGCAAGGATGGGGCCAGTGCTACTTCAGAGTGTTCATGGAAAAGTTCTCTGAGGAATCTCACTAACAATCAAGTCAAATCTGTAGCTATGAGAATGAGCTAGCCATAAATGATCTTGGGTAGAACCCTTCAGGCAGACTGAAACACAAATATGAAGTCCCTGAGGTGTGATGCTGATGTATTTAGGGGGCAGTAAAAAGGCCAATGGGGCTGGGCAGAGTACACAAAGGCAGGAGGTGGGAAAGGATGGATGAGTTGAAAGAGTGACACAGGGTCTTATTCCTAGAGTAAGCAGTTGGAGCTTCCTTCAAAGCATGATGAGAACGTACTGGAGGGGTTTGAACAAAGGATAGTCTGACTTCAGGTTTGTTTATTTATTTAAAAATATTTTTGGTGGTACTGAGAATGGACCTCAGAGCCTTAGGCTTGCTAGGCAAGTGCTTGAAATAACATTTTGGCTATTGTATAGAATAGAACTCTCTAGAGACAAGGCTAGAAATATAGCTTATAAGGTTGTTGCAAGTAGTTCAGGTGAGACATGATGATGGGTTGAACCTGGGAGGTAGCAGCGGATGTAAATAGATTTGGAATGCTTGCTGAAGGTAGAGTCAAAAATTTAAAAAAACTAAAACTAGAAATTCCATTAGACTCAGCTATTCCCCTTTTAGTTATCTTTACTTAAAAGAGGTAAAGGCATCATATTAGAGTGATACATGTATATCAATCTTTTGTTTGTTTGTTTGGAACCTGGGATTGAACTCAGGCCCTTGCGCTTGCTAGGGAAGCGCTTATTCTACTGAGCCATCTCCCCAGCCCTGATATCCATGTCTATAGCAGCACAACTCTTAATAGGTAAATCATAGAGTGGCCCATATGTCTGTCAATAAGTAAGTGGATTAAAAATGTGGTGTTTGTACACATTAGAGTTCTACTTTACCATAAAGAAAGATATACTTGAGCTAATTGTAGGAGAATGAATGCACATTGAGACCACAATATCTTTTTTCTTGTCTCTTGTTTACTTTTATTACCTTTTTTTAAACATTTACTTTAAAGAGAATATAGCAATAATTGATATGACATTAGAAGCAGTATGCATTTAGAAGACCAAAATGACAGGTATTTTAAGCATGGTTTTAGCATATACATTGCTCTCCACTATATAGTTGCTTAGTTCACAGATATCAGCATATAGACCTAGTCAGGGTGAGAATTCTACCCATTAACTGCTATTTTCAAAAACCTGATGGATCTTAGGACCATTGCCTTAACCATCTTGTTTATATAAATGTATGGTTTTGCCCCTACCATATTTCCTGACTTTTCTCCTTTCTCTCTCTTCATTGTTTAATCCTTAAGTTTTCTCTTTCCATTTAACTATGTTATACCTTTCAATTTTTATTTCTTCTTTTGAGTTCTTACCCTAGGGAGACAATACATACGATATTTACACATGTGGGTCTGGTTTATTTCACTTACATGTATAGCTTCAAGTTGCATCCACTTACCCACGAAGGCTTCATCTTTTTTTATAGCTGAGTAATACTCCATTGTATAAAACCACCTCGTCTTTTTCATCCATTCCTCAGATGGGCATTTTGGTTGTTTCCAAGATTTGGCTATCACAAATTGTGCTGCTATAAACATAGGAGCACATATATCACCATGATATGATGTTTTCAGTTCTTTTGGGAAAATTCTCAGAAGGGGATAGCTGGATTGAATGGAATTTCCAGTCATAGTTTTTTTAGGAGTCTCCACACTGATTTCCATAATGGTTGTACCAGTCTGCATTCCTATTGGAGAAGGATTCCTTTTCCCCCACAGCCTCTCCAACATTTGTTGTTGATTGTTTTCTTTATGATAGCCATTCTTTCTGGGGTGAGATGGTATCTCAGTGTTGTTTTAATTTGCATTTTTTTTGGCAGAACTGGCGATTGAACTCAGGCCCTTGCTTTTTTTTTTTTTCTGTGGAACCAGGGATTGAACTCAGGCCCTTGTGCTTGCTAGGCAAGCGCTTATTCAACTGAGCTATCTCCATGGCCCCTTTTAATTTGCATTTCCTGAAGGCTAGTAATGTGGAACATTTTTTCATGTATTTATTTGCCTCTTGTATTTCTTCCTTTGAGCAGTGTGTATTCATCTCGGATGCCATTTCTGGATTGGGTATTAAGATTTTGGGGCCCTAATGCTTTTTAGTTCTTTATAAATTCTAGATAGAAGCCCTTTGTCTGAGTGCTTATTAGTTAAGATTTTTTCCAAATTTGTCAGTTCTCTTTTCACTCTGTTGGTAATTTCTTTTGACATGCAGAAACTTCTCAATAAGAGGAGGTCTCAGTTGTTAATTCTTTAAATTAACTGCACGGAAAGTACTTTTCATGAACTGTTTGCCTACCCCTATGTCTTCAAGATTTCCACCTACTTTCTCTTCCAGGAGATTTAGTGTTTCTGTTTTAATGTTTAGATCTTTAATCTATTTTTACTTTAGTTTAGTGCATGGTGATAGACCTGGGTCAAATTTTAGTTTTTGGCATGTAGAGAGCCAGTTTTTCCAGCACCATTTGTTAAAGAGGCTATCTTTCTTCCAGTAAACATGTTTGACCCCTTTGTAAGACCATACTTTTAAGTGGAATAAATCAGACACTCAATCTCAAATATCACAAGCTTTATCTTATATGAGAAACCAAAATATAAATAAAGAGGAAAGTAAAAGATAATAGGAAACAGGAAGATAGATCTTTTGCAAAAGGGAAAGGGATCAAGGGATGGAGGAAGTGAAGGAGAAAAAGAATTAAGATGTATTATGTACACATACCAAAAAAAAATACTGTGTATATGGGGCTGGGGAGATAGCTCAGCAGCATAAGTGCCTGCCTGGCAAGCACAAAGTCCTTAGTTTGATCCCCAGTACCAGAAAAACAAAACAAAAACCCACCAAAAAACAGTGTAAGTACGCATACCAACTCTCCATAGTGAATGTAATCATTATGTACTGAGAACGTGTTCTTTTTTTTTTTTTTTGAGCAGAATATATTTATTGAGGGAAAGAAAGCTCCTGTCCGAGAGAGGGACAGGAGGGGGGCCCAAGCGGGTTGTTCCCTCTTGAGAACATGTTCTAATGAAAAGAAAAATTAAAACAAAGTAAAATGATTAATCTGACAGAATAGGACTTGCTAAAAGGGTACAACCAGCAAGGAAGAGTAACTCTAGGTTTTGGCCCAAGTACCAAAATGAATGATGGTCTTGTTTATCAAGATGAGTGAGATTCACTGGGTGGGAAGGAGTCAGTCTAAGCTTGGGGACAAGTTTGATAGGTGAAAATTAAGAGCTTTGGTGCCCATGTTAGGCTGAGGTGGGAGTGAAGTATTCAACTGGATATAATGAAGAGACAGTTGAATGTGAATAAATGGTTGGCAGAGCTTCAGCCTATATAAAATTCAACGCAAATTATAGCTGCTTTGAGCTGCCATTATATACTAGTAAAGGTAGCAGACATAAAATGATAGTGATTCAATGTGAGCAGGGGCACAAGGGAACCAGACATGTTAATTCTGTTCATGGGCTGATTAACTGACTTAATGTTTCAAGAGACTGATTTGATAGTATTGGTGAGCCATATAAATTAATTTCTGACTATTGTTTTTAAAAGGGTTTATTTTTTTTATTTTTTGTGGAACCGGGGATTGAACTCAGGTCCTTGTGCTTGCCAGGGAAGCGCTTATTCCACTGAGCCATCTCCCCAGCCCCAATTTCTGACTATTGATATGACAATATTTTCATTTTTTATGACAATATTTTCAGAGGCAATAATTTGAATACAATAGTTTATTACATAATTTGCAGATGGGAAGTACACATGACTTGATGCTCCTGTTTTCCCAACCCTTTAACTCTCTGGCTTTGTTTTACTAGTAAAGCAAAGATTTAAGAGCAGGTGATAGCTAAGTTAGAAAGGAAAAGGTTTCAAATATGCATATTATCTCTAGCTAGAAGTTCTAAACCAAAAGTTCAAAGTTCCTGGGTGCCCAGCAACATTTTTCCTTTTCTCCAGAGTGAAAAATTTAATCCACAGTTATGACACTTTGGAAATGACAAGTGGTCACTTTAGAATTCCAGGGTCAAGAAAACAATGAGAAAAAACAGATGACAAGCTGAAGTGGTGCTGTAAATTTGAAGATAACTTTTCAGCTGGTACTAGGACCTCTTTTATTGAACTGTCTCTGTGTCATGTCAATATCATTCTTTTCTACTTTTGGTATTCGCTGTAATTCATACACACAGTCCTGTGGGATTCCTAAGTTTGGGGGCCAAATTGAAATAGGTAAGATGCTTTTGTCCTTGTGTAGACTATTCTTGACCTGATACCTTTCCTATAGCTAACCCTGAATAATTCAACTTCCTTTCCTTTGTGAAACTATAAAATGGAGAAGCAGGAACTAAATTAAAGTCACTATATATACAAGAGGACAGAAACTATCATTTTTTTTTTTTTTTTTTTAAAAAAGATCTTTTTTTTAAAAAAAATAATTTTAATTTTATTTATGTGTGTTTGTGTGTGTGTGGCCAGCTCAGCCCACCAGGGGGCGGGGCT